TTTGATTTCTTTTTCTTGCCTAATGGCTCTGGATAAAACTTCCAAGATTATACTGAATAGCAATGGCAAGAGTGGGCATGCTTGTCTGGTTCTGGATCTCACTGGGAATGCTTCCAACTTTTCCCATTCAATAGGAAGCTGGCCATGGGTTCGTTATAACTTGCCTTTATTGTGTTGAGGAATGTTCCTTCCAAAACCAATTTTTTTAGAGTTTTCATCATGAAAGGGTATTGTATTTTATCAAAAGTTTTCTCTGCATCTACTGAGATAATTATATGACTTTTGTTCTTCAGTTTGTTAGTATGATGTATCACATTGATCGATTTGTGAATGCTGAACCATCTATGCATACAAGGGGTAAATCCCACTTGGTCTGGGTGAATGATCTTTCTGATAATGTTGGATTCAATTGGCCAGAATTTCTTGAGGATTTTTGCATCTATGTTCATCAGGGAAATTGGTTTGTAGTTCTCTTTCTATGTTCCATCTTTTCTGGGTTTAGGAACTAAGGTGATGTTAACTTCATAGAAAGAATTTGGGAGGATTCCCTCCATTTCAATTGTTTTGAATAACTTAAGAAGAAGTGGAGTTAGCTCTTCTTTAAATTGGTAGTAGAACTGCAGTAAAGCCATCTGGTCCTGGGCTTTTCTTTATAGGGAGGGTCTTTATTACTGATTCAATTTCTGTCTTGATAATGGGTCTATTAAAGTTTTCCATGTCTTCATGGCTCAATTTAGGTAGATTCCTGGACACATACAACCTATCAGTTTCTTCTAGGTTTCCCAGTTTGCTGGCTACAGCTCTTTGTAGTAATTCTGATGATTCTTTTTATATATGTGGTGATTATTGTTACATTTCCTTTTTCATCTGTAATTGTATTGATCTGAGCCTTCTCTCTACTTTTTTTTGTTAATTGAACCAATGGTGTGTAAATTTTATATTTTTCAAAAACCCAGCTGTTGTTTTTTGCTGCTCTTTTGTATTTTCTTAAATTTTTTTTTTGTTTTTGGTTTCAATTTTGTTGATTTCTTCTCTAATTTTAATTATTTCTTTTCTCCTACTAGTTATGGGTTTGGTTTGCTGTTGTTTTTCTAGATCCTTGAGATGCACTGATAGCTCATTTATTTGGTGCCTTTCCAATTTCTTGACGTAGGCACCAATGGCTATAAATTTTCCTTTTTTAAAAAAGATTCATTTATTTGAAAGTCAGAGTTACACAGAGAAGGAGAGGCAGAGAGAGAGAAAGAGGGAGAGAGGTATTTCATCTGCTGGTTCACTTCCCAGATGACGGCAATGGCTGGAGCTACACCGATCCAAAGCCAGGAGCCAGGAGCCAGGAGCCTCCTCCAGGTCTTCACACACGGGTGCAGGGGCCCAAGGACTCGGGCCATCTTCTACTGCTTTCCCAGGCCACAGCAGAGCTGGATCAGGCGTGGAGCAGCCAGGTCTCAAACCAGCACCCATATGTGATGCCAGCACTGCAGGCGGCAGCTTTACCCACTATACCACAGTACCGGTCCCAAACTTTCCTCTTAACACTGCTTTCACTGTATCCTGTAAGTTTTGATATATTGTATTATTGTCTTCATTTGTTTCCAGAAATTTTTTGATTTCTCTTTTGATTTCTTCTATGATTCACTGCTCATTCAGGAGCATGTTGTTCAGTCTTGATGTGTTTGCATATGTCCTAGATTTCTGCATTGCTGATTTCCAGCTTCATTGCACTGTGTTCCTGAAAGATACATGGTATGATTTCAATCTTTCTGAATTTGCTAAGTCTTGTTTTATGGCCCAGCATGAGATCAATCTTAGAGAAGGTTCCATGCACTGGTGTGAATGTGTACTCTGCAACTGTAGGATGAAAAGTTCAGTAGATATCTATTAGGTCCACTTGGTCTTTAGTGTCAATTAACTCTGCTGTTTCCTTGCTAATTTTCTGTCTGGTCAATCTATTGCTGAAAGTGCGGTATTGAAGTCTCCCATTACTATTGTATTGGAGTCTATGTCTCCCTTTGGATCCATTAACATTTTTCTTTAAGAGCCAGGTGCCCTATAATTAGTTGCATATTTGTTTATAAGAGTCACATCTTCTTGTTGAATTTATCCCTTAATCATTAAATAATGTCCTTTATTGTCTCTTTTAACAATTTTTGTGTTAAAGTCTATTTTGTCTGGTATCAAGATGGCTACATCAGCTCTTTTTTGGTTTCCATTGGCATGGAATATCTTTTTCATCCTTTCACTTTCAGTCTGCATGCATCTTTGTTGGTGAGATGTGTTTCTTGGAGGCAGCAAATAGATGGGTTTTATTTTTTAATCCATTCAGCTAGTTTGTGTCTTTCAATTGGAGAGTTAATGCCATTTACATTCAAGGTGGCTATTGGTAAGTAATGACTTTGCCCTGCCTTTTTTCATAAATATTTCCATTTTTTTACTTTGGATTTCCTTTGTACTTTTCCTGGGAGATATCCCTTCTTGTTTCTTGAATTGGTGTGTTTGTTATTTGACAATTGTAAAGATACTCATTGGTTTTTTCTTTGTTTTTTCAATGTGGTGGCTTTTATCTTTCCACTAGATTTGAATAAATTAATGGAGTGTCTGCTTTCAGAGAATAACTAGAGGTGTGTGGTGGGTGTGGCCAGGAAACTCTGTTCAGTACTCCAGATTGCCGGGCATGTCTGAGGTGACACATCCAGGTTTGTCATGGTAAATCTTTTTTTTTTTTTTTTTTTTTCAATCAGAGTGGAGGTTTCTTCTTGTCTGTTGGTGTAGACTCAGCTGAGCTCCTCTCCTCAAAGGAGACCAGTGCCTGGACATTATCCCCAGTGAGTACATTATTTGTCCACTCTGCCACAAGGACCACACAAAGGTTCTGTGCAGTCCTCAGTGTAAGCTAAGATTCCCTAGAATGTCCCTCACTAGGTAGCCAGGAAGCCCTGATCGTGTGGAGCCTCCCACAGTTGATGCCCAATATCCCAGCCACACCCTGAGTCCTCCCACGTAGCCCCAGTGTTTCACAGTCCCAAAAACACAGCCCCATCTATTCTCCCTACCAGACTTGGGAGTTTCCACTTGGCAGGTTGTTGGGTGCAAACACTTACTGGCACAGCTTTTACGTATGTCCAAAATGGTACCTGCTCTCTGTCAGCTTGTTACAGGATGCCTTTCCAGGGTGATCCGTAGAGAGAAAACATTCCCCCCACTTTGTTTTTTCTTCTCTAGTTTGACAGGTATACTATCCCCCATGGTGCTTCAAGCCAGATTCCCTCTATGCTCTTCTTGCAGCTTTTCCACCAGTGGCTTGGGCTGCTAGTCTGGTCTCACCTCACTTTCCAGTGCTGGTGTGGAGGCTGCTGGAGTCTTAAGTTGTGTGCGTCCTTGCCTCTGTGTAGGTCCACTGTGTTCCTCCAATCTATGCAGTTTCCTGTTTTCTCCCCAACTATTCTCCAAGACTGCACTCTTTCCACTTTTCTTAAACTATCTTCTCCTAGACTTAAGCAGCAAGCTACCTCCCTACTCCACTATCTTAATCCAATCTGACACCCATTTTCTTAGTAACTAAATTATATAAATATAAGGTTTTACATTTAAACTCTTTTCCTGCCCTCACCAATGAAGAAGCTGGAAAAAATCAAGATCCACATTAAGGGAGAACTAAGATTTTGAAAGGTACAAGAAAAATATTACATTTTCTAATAAACTGCAACCCTTAACTAAATGGAGTGTGTGCTAGCACAACTCATACTTCATGCTGAAGATCAGGACTATACACGGGTAGATAAAATTAAACTTGTGTTTCCTAATTAGTTTTTAAGGTCAGAGTTTAGGATATATTCACTTATTTGAAAGAGTTAGAGAGAGGGAGAGACACAAAGAGATCTTCCATCTGCTGGTTCACGATCCGAATGGCTGCAATGGCTGGAGCTGGGCTGATCCAAAGCCAGGAAACAGGAGCTTCTTCCAGGTCTCCCACATGGATGCAGAAGCCCAAGCACTTGGGACATCTTCTGCTATGGTCCCAGGCACATTAGCAGGGAAGCTGAAATGGAAGTGGAGCAGATGGGACCTGAACTGGCACCCATGTGGGATGCCGTGACTCACTAACGCCACAGTGCCAGTCCAAATACCGAGTTTAGACTGTTGCTTTCTTCAGAGAAGAACTGAAACCCAATCTAAACCTGAAAGTCAAGATTTATGCTTATCTAGTGAGGTGAAACAGTCAGATGCCCCTAACAGTCTTAAGGGGCTCTTTAGGACTGAGATAATCACTTTAATTGAACACAGATATAGACTGACAATGGTAACTTTCCCCTTTTTGGTGGAAGGCAGAAGAAACTTATGTATGTCCACCAGTCTTACTAATCCTTGAATACATTTTCACTTTTTCTTATATAATTTCTTCCACTGAAGTGTTATATGTAAGAGTTTGAATTTATCAAAAGAAGTTAAACTTCTCAAAGTTTTACCAATATGCTTTCTGGAACGAGTAATAGAAAGTGGCACTCAAAGTGGCTTAAATTACAAGGACATTTGTTATTTCATATATCAAGTCAGGAAGATAAGGCAGCTTTGGAATAATCTGAGAACAGCAATGATCTTATCAAAGAACCCAATCCTTTCCATTTTTCTACTCTGCTATTCCAATAGAGAAACAATGACTTAGTGTTTCTGGTATGCCAAAGGGGTTATGTGTGGGTACACCAACCTGTACAATAATAAAATCTAGACTGTAATAGTAGGGGAAAAGAAGGAACCATCAATTAGGCAACCAACAGTACTTACTAATAAAGTTCAATTCAAATATTGATATCTTTTTTTTTAAAGTTTATTGGTGGTAACCTTACATAGTTTACTCCTGCTACTTTGTTACATACTTCAGGGTCTTTTTTTTTTTTTTTTTTTTGACAGGCAGAGTGGACAGTGAGAGAGAGAGACAGAGAGAAAGGTCTTCCTTTGCCGTTGGTTCACCCTCCAATGCCTGCCACGGCTGGTGTGCTGCAGCGCGCTGATCCGATGGCAGGAGCCAGGAGCCAGGTGCTTTTCCTGGTCTCCCATGGGGTGCAGGGCCCAAGCACCTGGGCCATCCTCCACTGCACTCCCTGGCCACAGCAGAGGGCTGGCCTGGAAGAGGGGCAACCAGGACAGAATCTGGTGCCCTGACCGGGACTAGAACCCGGTGTGCCGGCGCCGCAAGGCGGAGGATTAGCCCAGTGAGCCGCGGCGCCGGCTTACTTCAGGGTCTTTAAGATAGGCAGGATCCTTGTATGTAACCGGCATAAACCCCATTAATTGAGCTCTCTTAATTGCTTTTGTGATTTCTTTATGCTTCCTCCCACAAAGACCTGTTATGTGCCTTCCATAAATGCATCCAGTAAATGGAGAAACAAACTGGGACAAAAGCTGTACATTCTTGTAATCTACACGTTTCCCACACAAGATACATTTCTTAAGAGGGTCCTTATAAGAATTTGCCATTGGAACAGGCAGGTCCTCATTGCTGGTTTATTGTTTATAGTGAGAACAACCTCTTCACAGCACGGCATGAGTTCCGGGTTCTGTGAGGCAGACGGCAGCCGTTACCACACGTGTCGTCTTCCTAATCAGACCACTGTAGACCGCAATCATAGCTGCCATAGCCCCCCGTTCCTCCCCTTCTCTTCCTTTCTCCAAAGCATCCCCAACAAATCCCTTTCGGTGCTCTCCAAATATTGATATCTTAAAAAGTCCAGACTACTCCAATCATCAGTGACATTACATGAATGTCTTATCTAATCATCTGGCATTTTCAAACATCATTCTAACATAAGCATACCTTATTTTTACTGAAATCTATACTGGAAAATACACCAAAGCAATTTTATTGGAAATAACTCATGTTCAACAATAGAAAATTGCTAAATGTATTATGACACAGTTATATAATTCATTAGTGTGGCCGGCGCTGCGGCTCACTAGGCTAATCCTCCGCCTTGCGGCGCCGGCACACCAGGTTCTAGTTCCAGTCGGGGCGCCGGATTCTGTCCTGGTTGCCCCTCTTCCAGGCCAGCTCTCTGCTGTGGCCAGGGAGAGGATGGAGGATGGCCCAAGTGCTTGGGCCCTGCACCCCATGGGAGACCAGGAGAAGTACCTGGCTCCTGCCATCGGATCAGCGCGGTGCTCCGGCCGCAGCATGCCGGCCACAGCGTGCCAGCCACGGCGGCCATTGGAGGGTGAACCAACGGCAAAGGAAGACCTTTCTCTCTGTCTCTCTCTCTCACTGTCCACTCTGCCTGTCAAAAAAAATAAAAATAAAATAAAATATAAAAAAATAGAATTCATTAGTGTATACTCTTAGGAAAAAATTCTAGAAATCAATACCCAGTGACAAGAAAAGTGATCATAAAATAATATTAAATGAGGGGCTAGCACTGTGGTGCAACAGGTTAATGCCCCAGCCTGAAGCGCTGGCATCCCATATGGGCGCTAGTTCGAGACCCACCTGCTCCACTTCTGATCCAGCTCTCTGCTATGCCCTGGGAAAGCAGTAGAAGATGGCCCAAGTCCTTGGGCCCCTGGACCCATGTGGGAGACCCAGAAGTTCCTGGCTCCTGGCTTCAGATCGGCGCAGCTCTGGCCGTTGTGGTCAATTGGGGAGTGAACCGTCGGATGGAAGACCTCTCTCTCTCTCTTTTTCTCTCTCTCTAACTAACTCTGACTTTCAAATAAATAAATAAATCTTTAAAAAATATATATTAAATGAAAGGAGACTACAAACTCAATGTAGCTTCCTGTTTCCTGGAGTATTTTCACCAAGCAACAGAATATGTCACATTTGGTAAAACAGTCATTCAAACATTTCAGTACTTTAAAGTAGTAACTTATCTTGGAATTCAGGGAGCGGGGAATCTACAAATCAAGGTCAGATAAGGTTGGACTCATTGTTACTGTTAGCTGATTAATAAATATTAGGATGCAGAAGAACCAGAGGGCTACTATGGCTTCCTGGTTTGGTTCTATACTGACATTTGCTACATTTCAGGTCTATTTCTTTTTTTTTCTTTTTCCTTTTTTTTTTTTTTTTTTTTTTTGGACAGGCAGAATGGATAGTGAGAGACAGAGACAGAGAGAAAGGTCTTCCTTTTGCAGTTGGTTCACCCTCCAATGGCTGCCACGGCTGGTGTGCTGCAGCCAGCGCACTGCGCTGATCCGAAGGCAGGAGCCAGGTGCTTCTCCTGGTCTCCCATGGGGTGCAGGGCCCAAACACTTGGGCCATCCTCCACTGCCTTCCCAGGCCACAGCAGAGAGCTGGCCTGGAAGAGGGGCAACCGGGACAGAATCCGGCGCCCCGACCGGGACTAGAACCCGGTGTGCCGGCGCCGCTAGGTGGAGGATTAGCCTATTGAGCTGCGGCACCGGCCCAGGTCTATTTCAACCCTTGTTTGCACTATGAATCCCAAGTGCTTTGAGATTATAAAAGATAAAAAACTGGGTCAGCTGTGAGGCAAGGTGACAGTTTACCTCAATTCTCATCTAAATTTGCTGTTCCAGCTCACCCACAAAAAAATCTTTTTTTTTTTTAATCACCTCAATGCTTAGTAACTTCTACCTTTCTTTCTTTCTTTCTTTTTTTTTTTTTTTTTTGACAGGCAGAGTGGACAGTGAGAGAGAGAGACAGAGAAAGGTCCTCCTTTTCCGTTGGTTCACCCTCCAATGGCCGCGGCAGGCGCACCACACTGATCCAAAGCCAGGAGCCAGGTGCTTCTCCTGGTCTCCCATGCGGGCGCAGGGCCCAGAGACTTGGGCCATCCTCCACTGCACTCCCGGGCCACAGCAGAGAGCTGGCCTGGAAGAGGGGCAACCAGGACAGAATCCGGCACCCTGACCGGGACTAGAACCCGGGGTGCCAACACTGCAGGCGGAGGATTAGCCTATTGAGCCGAGGCGCCGGCTTAGTTCTCCCTTTCAGTTGCTTACCTGTTTGCAATGTTCCTTCCTTTCCTGCTTCTGGTTTCTCTTTCCTTTGGATTTTGCAGAAACTCAGCTGAATTATCAAAAAATTATCTTAAATTCTAAACCTCAGTCAGGGAACCTAACATAAAAATGAAACTTCTGTTCTTCTCCCATCTTGCCCACTATGACCCTGTTATTTGGAACAATACTGCTTAATGGGAGCTTTCAATTACTTGAGATCTAGTAAAAATTCACTACATTCTGTGTACTGGAATTTTCCATGACTGAACTCAAACCAATTTCCTGAAGCAACTCATGAAGCAGTGTCAACTTAATATGACAAACAAAACTGTTATGGCACTTTTACCTAAGATAAAGAGAAATTCATGTTTTAGACACATGTCAGATTCAAAGATTCTCATTTCTAAAAAGTTGTTAATATTTAGACTGTCTGGCAGGAATTCAACACACATGATCTTTCTTAAATTTCAATTAGATTTCCCAAGCTGCTTACATAAGAAATACAAATTTGAAGGCCATTGTTATTTCCTCTATTGATGTCACAATGGACATGAACTTTAAAGTAATTAAAAGCACAATTATAGGAATATAAAAAAACAATTATAAAAATATGTATTCTTATCTTCATCCTAGCCAAATCTCAATAGACTGAACAATATGGAATACTTAAACTCTGGTACAGGAACCCAGTGCAATACTTTGTAAACAGAAGAAAGAATGAGGAAGTTCCCTATGTATTGATATGAAAAGAATTGTCATTAAAAAGGTATGCAAAATCATATATGCTATTTTTGTCTAAAAAGGAAGAGAAAATAAGAATATTCAATTTCCTACAGAAATTCTGGGAGAATATACAACAATCTAAAAACAGCATTATTATATAAAAAAGAATGTAGCAAGGGACTTGGTGGTTGACAGACAGAGACTTTTCATTGTCACTATATAGCTTTCTATTCCTTATTTTTAATAATATGGAATATATCAAGTATTTAAAAACAATCTAGCTTTAATTATCTTCACCTGAAATGAGATGTATAAATTAATATCACATCGAATGCAAAAAAAAAGAAAGGCACTTAATTTCCAATTAAAAATTCATGCTGAAAATCAACACACTAAGCAAAACAACCAAAAAAGGGAGGTTGGGAAGAAAGGGTAATGAAATATTTCTGAAAAAGATTTCTGGAGACCCTCTTAGCACCATATTATTTCATAATCTTAAATAATTTACCTATCATTTATATTCAAAATATTCAGCCAGGTGCTGGGTGACACGTTCTCTATCCTCAAAAGTTTCCCAATGTAAATGTCACGATAAGAAAGACACAGCTGAAAAACAGAAATAGACTAAATGCCACGTAATATATGTTACAAAGAAGCCACGACCACTGACAAACTAAACTAAGATTTCAAAAAGGCTACAGGAACTATAAAAAGGAAAAAGTACAGTTCAAGGAAGTGGAATTGCTCTAACAAAGAAGCCAAAAGTAGGGAAAAAACATCAAGTATGCTCAAGGATATTGAATAGACCACTTAGACTGAAATCTGAGGCTGAAAAGGATGAAGCCTAAAAATTACAGTAATACTTGGTATTATAAAATATTTCACTTATCTTGTTTGATCATCAAAACAATGTGACAAAAAGGTGGATTGTAGAGGGTCTTGAGTGTCAGGGTATAAATGCCTAGCTAAGTATCTGAGTATTTACAACAGACTACTTTGTCATTAGAACATAAAGAAACTAGAGGCAGGGAGACTAGTTACAAAGATTCAGGCTTAAGCTAGTAAGGTTGAAGCCATAGCAGTGGGAATTGAAGACTGTGGTGATAACTGTGGAAGGAGGTAAAAGGCTACCAGGGCTTGGACCTCAGTTTCTAGGATAATTATGGTATAATTAAAATATATACATCCAGATGGGGAAGAGCTATTTTTAGTATAAAAGAGTTTGGGTCCAGAAACATGTCAATTTGAAGCAACAGCAGCACATCCAGGTTATAGAGCCTCTATCACTCATTCCAAGGACTCAATGACCCATCATTATCCTAATCAAGAAACACATCCTGCCATCAGGTGTAATACGTATTATTCTCAAAAAGCCTGCTAATAGGAGGGAGGAATGGAGAATGACTGCTTAATGAATACAGGGTCTTTTTTGGGAGTAATGAAAGCATTTTGGAATTAAGAGGTAACGGTTATATAACACTGTGAACACACTCAATGCAACTGAATTACACACTTGCTAAAATGGTGTTTATGTTATGTGAATTTCATTTTAATTGTTAAAAAAGGAAAAATCAAAAACAGTTGGCTGAAACTAAGACCATAATGCCTTTTATCCTGTTGTTAAAGGTCCAGGCCCAGAATTCCCTGTACCTTTTGTTAATTCAATCCATATATACCTTGCCATCTTCCAAACCATTCCAATTAGACATTATCTTCAGCAATAACCAGGAAATTACATATTCCAACCTTTCTCTGAAGTCTTTCTCCTTACTTTAAAACAAAGTTGACCCTTTCCTGAATACAATACTTCCTTTCTGCCCATTGAAATGGTGATGGCTTTTTGTTTGTGTTCTTTTTCATTGTTTTTCTCATGTGGTGGTTACCCCAAGGTCATGAGGAGAAAACTAGTTTACCTGAATATGTGACTTCCAGAAATTACTATTTCACCATAGTTTTAAAAATAAACAAATATCCTATTGCTGCTGTCAGACGAGGGATGTGAGTTCTTGGGTCTAAACATCTATATAGCTATCATTTCCATAAGTTCTCATTGATCATTTATGTTTCTAGATATTTCCCACCAAAGATTTGCTTACCAAACTAATCAGAGAAATTCTGCATTAATTATTTTTAAATTGAGAAAATGGTATTGATGGGCAAAATTTTTATATTGTCATATTTTAATTTGTTCACTCTTATCCCATATTGATTTTCCTCCACTGTGAACCTTTCCATAAATGGTTTCCTATTAGACAAGTTGGAAATTTTTATAATTAAACACAGAATTTTGTTAATTTAAAACAGCAGCAACAACAAAAAATAAACCAACCCATTTCTATAATGCTCAGGTTTTCTTAGTCATATTACCATCTCCCTTCTCACTGCTGTAATTTCCTAACCACAGCATTATCTCCTCTTGTGCTGATGCCTTTTACACCCAACTCACAGCTGCCTTTCCCCTAGGCCTTACCACCATACTAAATAACTTTGATTCAGAGAATCACTTTCCCAAAAGTATGGCCCCAGAATGTTAATAATGATAATCTCCTTCATGCTATTTTTTCATCCATTGCTAAGGTAAAATAAAATGTTGGCTTTGATCATCACTCAAAACCTTGCATTTCTACCAAATTTGCATTTCTACCAAAATTAACAATTTAGATACTGAGTTATTATATACAATTTCTCCAAGCATGGTTTTTATTTGAGAAGTCAGGCATCTTCTAGACAAAGTTCTCACAAGAGCAAGTTGGTTCCATTACTAACTCATTAGAATTGATCTCAACTGAGCACTTTTCAAAAGATAACAGTCCTACATTTCTCTAGTTTATTAATCCTTTCACACTCTACCATGGCAGTTGTGAATTTTCTCCATTCTTCTCAAATCTCTGATATTCCTCTCTTGCGATGAGATGAAGACTTTGTCTCCAACCTTACAGTGAAAATAACTAGCATTCAAAAACTCCTACATCTTTTCAACAAGAAGTGCAAAAACAACTGCATCCATCCAATTCTTTATTCCTACCTCTTAAAAACAATGAAATGTCTATCTTCCTGTGTTAAGCTAAACCTTACACTCCCTATCTCACTTCATTCATTCAATATTTACTGAAGGCTTACTAAGGCACTGCTCTCCACAAAGAATACAATGAAAAGACAAAATCTCTGAACTCCTACAGTTTACTGACTGGGACTTGGGGATGGGGAGCTGAGGAGGGATATAAACAAAATACAATAAAAATTGTCAGTAAGTAAATAAAATAGTCAAGAATGGGCCTCACACATTTATTTCTCCAATTCAGATATTTCTTTTGAGTTCCAGTCATGAATATCCATCTGCTGAACAAATCTAATAGGTCCATGAATGCTTCTTCCTCCTTGATCTCCCTATTCCAAATAAAAACAACTGTCCTAGTACAATAAATGGCAACATCTTCTATGAACACTTAAAAAGCCAGGCTATGAAGTTATTCTTGGGGCCAGCGTTGTGGTACAGAGAGTAAAACCTCTACCTGTGATATAAGCATGGCATATAAGTACTGGTTTGTATCCTGGCTGTAACATTTTCAATTGCGCTCCCTGCCAATGGCATGGGAAAAAGCAGTGGAAGATCACCCAAGTGCATTGGGCCTCTGCCGCCCATGTGGGAGAGAGGCTGAAGCTACTGATTTTGGCATGGCCCAGCCCTGACAATTGCAACCATCTGGGGAGTGAACCAGAAGATGGAAGATCCTTCTTTGTCTTTTTGGAAAAAAAAAAAAAGTTATTCTTGATACCATATACTCTCATTGTCTATATCCAATTCAAAGACTTAATAATTTGACTTCCTAAATATTTCTAGAATCTGTCACTTGCCTCCATCAATAGTCATCATCATCAATACTACCATATCAGTACTGGCTACCATTACCTCTATTTAATTTGTCTTTATTCATCCTGCCTTTTTACTTGCCTTCTCACAATGATTCTTTACAGATAACCAAAGTTAGATTTTAAAAACTTACCCTTTGGTCTACTTAAAACACTTTGTGTTTTTTGTGTTTTTTTTTGTTTGTTTTTTTTGTTTGTTTGTTTGTTTGTTTGTTTTTTGACAGGCAGAGTGGACAGTGAGAGAGAGAGACAGAGAGAAAGGTCTTCCTTTTGCAGTTGGTTCACCCTCCAATGGCCGCCATGGCTGGTACACTGCGACCGGCGCACCGCGCTGATCCAAAGGCAGGAACCAGGTACTTATCCTGGTCTCCCATGGGGTGCAGGGCCCGAGTATTTGGGCCATCCTCCACTGCACTCCCGGGCCACAGCAGAGAGCTGGCCTGGAAGAGGGGCAACCAGGAAAGAATCCAGCGCCCCAACCAGGACTAGAACCCGGTGTGCCAGCGCCCTAGGTGGAGGAGTAGCCTATTGAGCCGCGGCGCCAGCCTCGTCTTCTTTCAATGCTGTTCGGATAATGACCAATTTCTTTAAAACACATTACAAAACATGGGTAATCTGAGCCCACTCTACCCTCCTCATTTTATACTAAACTTCTCAGATTACTTATTTTTAAAATTGGTAACATTGTATAATTTCTATACCTATAAATTTGTAATCTTTTGTTTTTTAAGGTTTATTTATTTTATGGAGCTGGCAGCACTGTGGTGCGGCAGATTAATGCCCTGGCCTGAAGCACTGGCATCCCATCTGGGTGCCGGTTCTAGTCCCAGCTGTTCCACTTCTGATCCGGCTCTCTGCTGTGGCCTGGGAAAGCAATAGAAAGTGGCCTAAGTCCTTGGGCTCCTGCACCCACATGGGAGACCCAGAGGAAGCTCCTGGCTCCTGGCTCCAGATTGGTGCAGCTCCAACTGTTGTGGCCATCTGGCGAGTGAACCATCGGATGGAAGACATCTCTGCCTCTCCTTCTCTCTCTGTGTAACTCTGACTTTCAAATAAGAGAAGGACACAGAGATAGAGAGATCTTTCAACTGCTTGTTCACTTCCCAAATGGCCTCAACAGCTAGACCTGGACTGGTTTGAAGCCAGGAGCCAGAAGCTTCTTCTCAGTTCCGAACATGGGTGCAGGGGCCCAAGAATTTGGGCCATCTTCTGCTGCTTTCACAGGTGCATCAGAAGGGAGATGGATCAGAAGTGGAGCAGCCATGACTTGAATTGGCACCCGTATGGGATGTTGGCTCTGTATGCAGCTGCTTTACCCACTATGCCACAACACTGGTCCCCTCAGATTACTTTTTTATTTCTCAGCTTTACTGAGGTGTAACAGAGAAATAAAAACTATATATACTTAAGGTATATACTCTGATACATACACACACACACACACACACACACACTCAAACAATTACCACAGTTAAGCCACTTAGCATATCCATCAACTCACATAGCTACCAATTCTTTGTGTGTGGTAAGAATATTTACAATCTCTCTCAGCAAATTTAAGTATACAATATCTTATTAACTATAGTCTTCACACTACACTTTAGGTCTCTACAATTTATTCAACTGATTACTTTATATCATATGACATTTCTTCCCCTCCAGGCTCTCTATGCCCCCAACAACTTTTGCTAACTAGCCTTTATTCCATTTCTATGAATTTCAATTCCACAGTTTCCACACAGAAGTGGGAACATGTGATATTTGTCTTTTTGTTCCTGGCTTATTTAACTTAGCATGCTGTCCTCCAGATCTGTACTGATAAATTTTTAGTTACTATAATGAAATACCTGAGGCTGGGGAACTTCATGAAAAAGATTTATTGAAGCTACAAGAGCATGATGGCAACAACAACATCATTCTAGTGAGACCTTCATGGTAGATGGTAAATGGGAGAGCAAGAGACCACAAGACAAGAAGTCAGAAAGTATTAAAGGAGTTGGGCTTGCTCATAAGATAATTTGCTCTCCTGAGAACTAATTCAGGTACCCACACGAACTACATTAATTCCTCCCCAAGGCATGCATGCACTCAGTGACTTAAGGACCTCCCATTTGGTCTCACCTCTTAATATCAACATATTGGGGATATACTTGCAAAGCACAGCAAGGTCTATCATGTTGTCACAAACAACAGAATCTCCTTTTTTAAGGCTGAATAATATCCACTGTACATATCCACGTTTTCTTTATCCATTTATCTGTCGATGGACACTAAGGTTGTTTCTGTATCTTGGCTGCTGTGAATGCTGAAATGAACACAAGAATACAGGTTTTTTGTTGTTGTTGTTGTTGTTTTTTTTTTTTGGACAGGCAGAGTGGACAGTGAGAGAGAAAGAGACAGAGAGAAAGGTCTTCCTTTGCCGTTGGTTCACCCTCCAATGGCCGCCACGGCTGGCGCGCTGCGGCCGGCACACCACGCTGATCCGATGGCAGGAGCCAGGTACTTCTCCTGGTCTCCCATGGGGTGCAGGGCCCAAGCACTTGGGCCATCCTCCACTGCACTCCCTGGCCACGGCAGAGAGCTGGCCTGGAAGAGGGGCAACCGGGATAGAATCCGGCACCCCGACTGGGACTAGAACCCGGTGTGCCGGCACCGCAAGGCGGAGGATTAGCCTAGTGAGCCGCAGGTCTTTTTTGGGGGAAGGATAGTGACTTAATTTTCTTTGGATGTATACCCAGAAGTAAGATTGCTAGATAATATGGTAGTTTTATTTTAAATTTTTAAGGAACTCCCAGACTGTTCTCTGTAATGGTTGGACAAATTCAGATTCCAAACATACCTCAGTTATTTTTAAGTATAACCATATCAGCTGATCCTTATACATGTAAAACTAGCATACTACTGGGCTTCTTTCTTAGTCCGGTTAACTTCTATTCATCCTTCAGAACTCAATTCAAGGACTTCCCAGAATAAGTCAAATTGACATGCATAGCACTTTGCATCTTTTCTTTAGTGAAGTGGTTTATGATAGTAACAGTTCTTTAGAGTAGTTCTTTCAGTAGTAATTTACTTTTTGAACATGTTATATGGTTCAAGATTATCTCTACCTCACAAAAATCGCTATAAAAATTAAAATAGCCTGTTGAATTCATAGTAATAAGGCTTTATCTTACAAAGCCTACTCCAGTAAATCACAAATTAAACTTAACTATACCACCTGATAGATCTAGAGTAAGTCCTAAGGTTTCTAGGAGCATATAATTTTTCTCATAAAGGCACAATTCAAACATCAGAAGACATTTGATATATATTATTCTAACAACCTTTTTAGTATGAATCTTTTAAAGATATACTATATATGTGTATATAAATATGTATATATATTTCTGACATGCAAATATGTCTGTATGTCCAATAAGGTCACAAAATTCTTTCATATATAAATACAAATTGTTTTAAGTGTTTTACCAGACAGAGAGAAAGTGCACTCCTATCTTCTTGCTCACTCAAATGTCCACAATGGCCGGAACTGGGCAAGGCTAAAGCTGGGAACTCAATTCAGATCTCCCACGTGGGTGACAGGTACCCAACTACTTCAACCATCATCACCTGCTGCCTCACAGGATCTGCAATGACAGGAATCGAACCCAAGGACTCCAATATGGGATGCTGGAGACTTAAACCAGTGTCTTAATTGCTGTGCTAAAGAACAATTTGATTGACCAAAATTATTAGAAGGCAAGTAGCAAACTCATTCATTTCACTGTAACAAGTCACTGTCAAAATCCCAAAGCTGATGTAATGTTTGTTTCATTTGAGTAAATAAATATCATTGTTCTATCAGCACATCAGGCTTGAACTGCTACCAATCTTTTACTTATCCTAAGTATCTAAAAGTAGTAGGCTGAAGGTGACAAAAATAACAGGCTGAGAGAAGCCATTAATTATATTTAGTTTATTTTTTAAAATATTGTTTTTAAAATATAGAAAACATGCCCTTATAAGTATCAAATTTAAAAGTCTTTCAAATTAAAGCAGACTCATTAAGAGCACAAAACCAAAGCATCATAATGAGGAAGAAACAAATATATTATTCAGGCCTGTAAAATAATGAGAGGGATTTTCATTGTTAGAGTCAAACTCCCAAGGCTGAGTCAATAATTCTGACAGGGTCAAGGTTCTTTACCTGTAGTACTTTACTAAGAAACAACATATTTTATTTTTATATACATGTTTTCAAAACATTTTTCCCATCAGCACCACAAAACTAACAGCAAGTAACAATCAATGTACTGTTTGCCAATAAACAAATAAAAGAAAGAATTAAACATTAAGTGCTTGATCTCGATTAGAAAGAACAAACTACGACTAAGAATACCCCAAAGAAAAAAACAGATCTTCTCTTCACTTTGATCAGACACAAATCTTGCTTTCTTCAATCTGCTTTCTTATTCATGGACTAAGTTTTTATAGTTACTGATGCAAAACACCTGCTGTACTCTGAAGGCACAGACATTACATAAACAAATAAATGCTCCTGTACTCCACTAAAATTTAATTTATAGGCAATTTCAACAACAAAATTTTCACGTCACAAAAATTTAGTTGTTTATTTATTAGCTAGAAAGATGCTTAATGACATTGGATATTGAGGAAACAAAACCGCAATGAGATGCTACCTTATACTATACAGGATATAAGAATTTGGAACCCTTTTACATTCCTGGTAGCAACATAAAATGGTGCGGCCACTGTGGAAAAATTTGGTAGTTCCTCAAGAAGTTAAACACTGAGTTATGGTATAATGCAGAAATTCCCTATCTAGATATAAATCTCAAAGGATTGAAAACAGGTCTTCAAATAAAATTTATAGTATACAAACATTCATGGCAACATTTTTCACAACAGAAAAAAATAGAAATAACCTAAATGTACACCAATTCTGACAGGATGGATGGATAAACAAAATGTGGCATATCCCTAAAATGGAATGTTGTTCAACTATAAAAGGAATTAAATAATGAGTCATGACACAAGGATGAACCCTGAAAATACTATGCCATGTGAAATAAGCCTGACAGAAAATATCATATTATAGCATGATTCCATTTACAACTGTCAGAATGGGAACAGTTGCTTAATGCATATAGTTTCCTTCTGAAATGATGAAAAAGTTGTGAACTAGGTAGTGTTGGATGATTGAACAATATTATGAATGTATTCACAAATATTTAAATGGTCAATTTTATGTTATGTGTATTCACACAGTAAGAAATTGTTTTAAAAAGCTAAAGGATCTGGGATAGCAGTAGAAGATGGCTCAAGTCCTTGGGCCCCTGCACCCACATGGGAGACCCAGAAGAAGCTCCTGGCTCCTGGCTTTGGATGGGCGCAGCTCCAGCCATTGCGGCCATCTGGGGAGTGAACCAGCAGATGGAAGACCTCTCTCTCTAGTCTCTACCTCTCTCTGTAACTCTTTCAAATAAATAAAATAAATCTTTAAAAAAAAAAAAAGCTAAAGGATAAAAAACTAAAAAGGAAACCATGTCTTTTCTCAAGACTAAGTTCAGGTGATGATTGAGATCCCTTCCTACAGCAACGGCTGGAGCTGTGCCAATCTGAAGCCAGAAGCCAGGAGCCAGGAGCTTCTTCCTGGTCTCCCATCTGGGTACAGAGGCCCAAGCACTTGGGCCATCTTCCACTGCTTTCTCAGGCCACAGCAGAGAGCTAGATTGGAAGAGGAGCAGCCGGGATTAGAACCGGCGCCCATATGGGATGCTGGCACCACGGGCAGAGGATTAACCTACTGCGCCATGGCGCCAGCCCCATAAATTCTTTTTTTTTTAAGATTTATTTTTATTTATTTGAAAGTCAGAGTTACACAGAGAAGGAGAGGCAGAGAGAGAGAGAGCTCTTCCATCCACTGGTTCACCTCCCAATTGGCCACAAAGGCCGGAGCTATGCCGATCCGATGCCAGGAGATTTTTTCCAAGTCTCCCACATGGGTGTAGGGGCCCAAGGACTTGGGCCATCTTCTACCGCTTTCCTAGGCCACAGCAGAGAGCTGGACGGGAAGTGAAGCAGCAGGGACTCGAACCGGCGCCCATATGGTATGCCAGCACTGCAGGCACCACAGTGCCAGCCCGCATTTTTATAAATTCTGAGTATTCATTTTACAAAAGGTTTTAAAATAAGATTTTTGTTTTACCTTTCCTTGTTCTCCTTCAGAGATCTGCAACAAAATTAATTTTTTTTAAGTTTTAAAAATTTACTTATTTTTATTTTGAAAGGCATAACAACATATAATGAGAGAGAGAGCTATCTTGCATTTGCTGGTTCACTTCCCAAATATTTACAAGATCCAAGGTTGGGGCTGGTGTGGTTAAGCCGGTTAAGCCACTGCCTGCAATGCCAGCATCCCATATAGGCTCCAGTTCAAGGCCTGAATGCTCTGCTTCCAATCCAGCTCCCTGCTAATAGCCTGGGAAAGCAGCACAGGATGGCCCAAGTGTTTGGGCCCCTGCACCCATGTGGGAAACTCAGAAGAGATTCCTGGCTCCTGGCTTTGGCCTGGTCCAGCCCAGGCTGTTGCAGCCATTTGAGGAGTGAACCCACAGATGGAATGTATCTCTCTGTATCACAAAAATAAATCTTTAAAAAAAGAAAAGAAGAAAAAAAAAAAGAAAAGAAAAGGACCAAGGTTGGGTCAGGCTAAAGCCAGGTGGCAGGAACACTAACTGAGTTGCCCTTGTGGGTGACAGGGACCCAAGTACTTGAGCTATCATCTGCTACCTGCCAAGGTGTACATTAACAGGAAGCTGGATCTAAAGCAGAGACAGAACTCAAGCCCAGGCAATCCAACATAGGATGCAAGTATCTTAATGACTGCACCAAATGCCTACTTTCATAAAGAGATTTACAAATTCTCAAATTATATACTATTTTTCAAAGAAATACATTTTGCCAAAAGAAAGATAAAAGGGTATGTGAGTTATGTGTGTACAATATTTTGACATCCAAAATTATATTCAGGTTGTGTACATCCTATTTTTTTTCTTTTTTTGCCTTTAGCTGCAGCCAAGGTTAATCTTTCACCATTAAAGTTGGCTATGATATGAACATGGCCAACATTCTGTCACCTTCCTCTTCACTGGCACTTTGGCCAAGAAAAATAATGCCCTAATTTTTCAATGTAAAGTTGATAATATAGGAGCCAGTGTTGTGGCATAGCCAGTAAAGCTGCCGACTGTGATTCCAGCATCCCATATGGGTAGAGTTCAAATCCCGCCTGTTCTAGTTCCTACCCCATTCCCTGTTAATGCACCTGAGAAGGCAGCAGAGGATGGCTCAAATTCTTTCATCACTATACCCACATAGGAGACCCTGAAGCTCCTGGGTCCTGGCTTTGGACCAGCCCAGCTCCAGATGTTGCAGCCATTTAGGGAGTGAACCAGAAGTTGGAAGATCTCTCGCTCTGTCTCCCTCTCTCTCTAACTTTGCTTTTGCTTTTCAAATAGATAATAATAAACCTAAAAAAAAAAAAAAAAAAAAAGATTTGAGGCTCCAGTGCTGTAGCGTGGTGGGTAAAGCTGCTGCCTGAGGTGCAGGCAAGCCATATGGGTGCCAGTTTGAGTCTTGGCTGCTCCACTTCTGATCTAGCTCCCTGCTAATGAGCCTGCATCCATATGGAAGACCCAGAAGAAGCTCCTGGCTCCAGCTGTGGCTGTTGAGGCCATCTGGAGCGTGAATCAACAGATGAAAGATCTCTCTCTCTCTCTCTCTCTCTGTAACTCTGCCTTTCAAATAAATAAATCTTTAATAACAACAAAAAGATTTGATAATATTAAAATGCCTTAAAAGATGCTACGGTGTTTGGATAATGTTTTCAGAATAAGCTCCTATTTAAAACTGGATTAGGACTTTAATTGTAGTTCTGAACTTTAATAACATTATCAAATACATGAGATCTCTCTATGTTGTTGTTATTTGAGAGACAGAGAGAAAGAGTAAGCTCCCATCTGCTGGTTCATGACCCAGATTGTGGCAATAGCTAGGAATGGGACTGGAACTAGAGGCCAGGACCTAAATCCAAGTCTACTACATGGGTTGCAGCAACACAATCACTTACGTCACCTGCTGCCTCCTCGAGTCTACATTGGCAGAAATTTGGAATCAGAAGCTAGAGCCAGTAATCAAATCCAGGCACTCCAATATGAGATGCAGGAGTTTAAGCACTAGACCAAATTTCTGGCACAGACTTTTTTTTTTAATTTGTTCACTCATGTTTCATCAAAATGACTTATTTTGAAAGGGCTTCATATAATACTTATAGACATTTATGTTAAATGAAAGGTTGGAAGCATTTAACTTTGGTATGCAAATGGCAAAATGATGTTTAATACTCAGTATATAAAACACAAACAATTCATTTATTTTGATAATGAAACAAGGGATATTACTAGAGACCCTATAGAGATTAAAAGTACTGGGTACTAGGATAAACAATTCTACATCCATATATTCAGGAACTTAGATGAAATGGATCAACTCTCTGAATATATCAACCACCAAAAGAAACACCCTCACTAATCAAATAACTAATAAAGAAATTGAGTTAATAGTTTTA